CCAGAAAAGGCCACACTTCTGAAGACAAAATAGTTGCAATACAAAACTTATATTAATTAAATAATTAATAAAACTTCACTTAAAGGACAAAAAATATTAGTGTCTAAACTACCAGTTATCACTATCCATGTGACTCAACAATAAATACAATAAAAATAGTAACTAATTAATAACATTGTACTCTGGAATAAACAGTGAAAGCATCACTGATGATCTGCTTGGAACTGTGTGGTAATTAAACTCAAACAGCTCCATCTAGTGGACATACATAAAAGTTGCTATTCCAGTCAGTCATCAGCCTGTTTCTAAATGTAGTTATGTAGTTTGACCTCATGATGGCAGTGGCCAAAACTACAGACTAACATGTTTGGGAACATTAATATCAATGTTTTTAAGTACTTTAAGAATATTCTTTCTCTTCTGATAGAGATCTATTCAAAGAGTTTAATAACATGGCCATCCACACCACACAGAGTTAACCTGATAAACGTGGTTTCAAAAGTCATGCAGAGATCAGTCCAGCATTGTTGATTTCTTCAGATGAGCCAAAACACAAATACCGCTCAATGATTACATTGGAATCTTTTGTAATCTAACCAGTCACTTACTCTGGTTTGTAATTTGAGGTCACAAATTATTAATTATCTGAGGAGGTTGAAGTGATTGAGGATAGAGATGATTACTAAGAGGGAAGAGAGCTTGTTGAGAAGATGTAAGGAATACTTTGCAAAGCTCATAAATGAGAAACTGATAAATAGATAAATACCACTGAAGTCCCCCATCGCTAAATCCATCCAAGTTACATAAACCATGTAACTTGGATGGATTAGATGCTGGCGTGACCACAGTACACACGTCTGCTGTTGCTCACAGTGGTCCAAGGGATCGCTCAGGGAGTTTGTGTGTTCGCTCAGACACATGAAAAATTAGAGGAAACATTGGATATCAGATGTGCTCTGGGGTGAACTTTGACCTGTAGGTATGAGAAAATGAAGCAGGTGTAGCAGGAGAGGACACGCTCAGGTAAACAGAGTGCTCAGAGAGACATTGTTGCACTTTGCTACCATGTTAGGGTCCACATGTGAAAGGCAAAAGAGTCGCAAAATGATTACAAAGTTGCCATGAGAGATTATGTTTGTCCTGTGACAAAGTATTTGAAGAGGGGTCACTGAATAGTTGATTATGAAAATGGTGTGATCAAAAGATCAAAAGAAA